AATGACAGTAGTTAAGTTCTAACTTACCAATAAATATTTTAAATGTAAATGAATTAATTTATCCAATCAAAAGACACAAAATGGCTAAATAGATTTTTTAAAAGATTCAACTATATACTGCCCACAAGTTACTTACTTTAGCTTTAAAGACACAAATAGGCTAAAAGTAAAGGGATGGGAAATCATATTCCATGTAAATGGTAACCAAGAGAGAGAAGTGGCTATACTTTCACAGGGGGGAAAAATAGACCTTAAGTGAAAAACTGTTATAAAAGCCAAAGAAGATCATATTGTAATGATAAAGAGGTCGATTCATCAGGAAGACATAATAATTGTAAATGGATGGGAAAAGACATTCCATGCAAATGGCAACCAAAAGATAGCAGGGGGTCACTATACTTATATAAAAACAAAATGCACTAAGTAAAAAAAGAACTATCACAATAAGCACCTAAATATATAGAGCAAATATTAGCAGATCTGTAGAGGGAAATAGAAAGTGAGTCAATAATAGTAGGAGACTTTAATATCCCACTTTTCAAAAATGGATAGAGCATCCAGACAGAAAAGCAATAGAGAAACACTGGAATTGAACTATACTGTAGACTAAATATATCTAACAGACACATACAGAACACTGCATCCAACGGCAGCAGAATACATATTGTTCTCAAGCACACGTGAAATAGATCTCTCTGGTATAGATCATAAGCTAGGCCACAAAACAAATCTTAACAAATTAAGGTTGGAATCCTATCAAGTACCTTTAACAACCACAATAGAATTACAAATAAATAACAAGAGGAAAATTAGAAAATTCACAAATATGTTGAAATTAAACAATACACTTCTGAAGGGTTCAAAGAAAAAGCCAAAAAGAAAATCAAAAAAATATTTCTCTGGTATAGATCATAAGCTAGGCCACAAAACAAATCTTAACAAATTAAGGTTGGAATCCTATCAAGTACCTTTAACAACCACAACAGAATTACAAATAAATAACAAGAGGAAAATTAGAAAATTCACAAATATGTTGACATTAAACAATACACTTCTGAAGGGTTCAAAGAAAAAGCCAAAAAGAAAATCAAAAAAATATTTCGAGAAAAATGAAAACAAAAATACAACACACCAAAACTTATGGGATGCAGCAAAAACTTCTAAGAGGGAAGTTTGTAGCAATAAACACCTAGGTTAAGGGGGGAAAAAAACTCAAAAAAACAACCTAACTTTACACCTCAAAGGAATTAGGAAAAAAAGAACAAATTAAATTAAATTTAGCAGAAGGAATAAAATAATAAAGAGCAGAGCAAAAATAACTAAAATAGGAACTAAAAAATATGCAAAAGATCAATGAAAGTAAGAGTTGGTTTTTGGGAAAGAAATAAAATTGGCAAACCTTCAGTTAGACTAAGAAAAGAGAAAACAAAAATAAAATTATAAATGAAAAAGAATATATAACAATTGATACCACAGAAATACAAAGGATCATAAGAGACTACTACAAACAATTATATGTCAATAAGTTGGATAACCTACAAGAAATGGAAAAATTCCTAAAAACATACAACCTACCAAAACTGAATCATGAAGAAACAGAAAATCTGAACCAACCAATCACAGGTAAGGAGATTGAATCACTTATCAAAAACCTCTCAACAAAGAAAAGGCTAGGACATGATGGCTTTACTGGTGAATGCAAAAATTTAAAGAAGAATTAACTCCAATCCTTCTCAAACTCTTCCAAAAAAATAAACAGGAAGAAACACTTCCAAACTCATTTTACTAGTCCAGAATTACTCTGACACCTAAGCTAGATAAGAACAATTCTGGGGGCGATGGGGGAAGTCCAATATCTTTGATGAACATATGTGCAAAAACCTTCAACAAAATACTTTCAAACAGAATTCAACAGCTCATCAAAA